GTTATCGTCGCAGATCGGCGCGGAAAATTTATCAAAATCTCGATCGGCGTTTTCCTCGAGTTGAAAGTTTTCCAGAGAGTTTTAAGGTAAGTTTTCTTTTCGTATTTATATGCAGATATAATATTTTACATTTACAATATTTTAGGAATCTGAAAAAGTGTATCTATACAATAATTTAACTCGAAATATCATATCGATGCGTGTTTTTAACAATAATAGCAATAAAGAAATGAGTTCTTATTTCTGCGCTGTGATAGATGTGTGCAATGTATTGTGTACTTTTTTAAAGTACACGATGACAATGATTATACAGTTTTACTTATTTTTCAGTGATTATGATAAGTCATTATCTATGACTATGATTACCTGTTTCAAATCAGAGTTAGTCCAGGAGGCAGTGAAGATGTTCGTTACTTATTTTCCCAGTCAGTAAAACACCCATATAATTATTTAGTATCTTATTTTAAGCAAATTTCATATACAGGGTGTTCCAAAAAACATGTGCCTTCTCTCGTGGGGAGATTCCTCACGTAAAAATATGATTTACTTTTCATATCAACATAGGTCCAATTCTGCTTTGTTTCGTAGCTACAGGGTGTTAAAGTTTTAATAATCATTCGATTTATTATAATTTTTTTCGAAGTACTTTTAGTGATTCGAATGAAACTTTGAGGGAAAAAGTTGCTATAAGTGCTATTTTAGTGCTAGAAAAGTGTCGATCAATTCATCAGGAACGTGCATATGGGTTATCATTAGAATATTAAAAAAAAAGACATGTGCACCCCTGACTTTTCTCTTTTGATATCAAAATTGAGTAGGGCGTTTAATGCCAATTAAAAGTTATCTCTAAATATTTTGTCGAATTTGGCCTCCTTGATGAGATAAACGCAATTCTATTAATCACAATTAATAAAATTAAAATAAAATTCATAAATTACATATTTTACCTCATTTATTATTAAATATTATTACTATTAGTTATTATTACTATTAGTTCAACCTACAGCAATTTTTAATAAAAAAATAATGGTAAAAATAATTTTAAACAGTTATAACATGCTGTAAGACTAAAACTATGCATTTTCATACCTATGTTTATAGGAACTTTTTTTCATATTTTTTTTGAAAGGAATCAATGAATCCTTTCAAAAATTTCCTGACAAAAGTTTCATTGATAGTGGGATTTGCGGGAGCCTGCCGGAGTATCGAGTTGACAAATCTGCAGCTGCAAAATGTTAAAGATGAAGGACAATGCATTAATATCATTATTCCATTTACGAAAATAAAGATATGACGAGATTTTTTTATAACGAAAGGGAATGTTGAAGGAATAAATATGGTGGAAATGGTTCGAAGATATATAGTTATGCGGCCAAGCAACACAGAGCATACTCGATTTTTTGTGGGGTACAGAAATGGAAAATGTATTAAGCAACTCGTTGGCATTAATACTTTAGGGAAGATGCCGTATAAAATAGCATCGGTCGTAACTCTTCCAAATCCACAACAATACACTGAACATTGTTTCCGTAGATCGTCTGCGTCGTTGCTTGCAGATTCAGGAGTAGATTTATTAACTGTTAAAAGACATGGTGGTTGGCGCTCTAACACAGTGGCAGAGAGCTATATAGAAAATTCCAAAGAAAATAAGAAAAAAGTGTCATGTAATATTTTGGGTAACATTTCTGGCAATGATGGTCTTCAACAAGTTCAAGCACTCAATTTACTTTCTAAAAATTCAACTCACCTGTCATCGTCTGGAATTAATTTAACTAATTGTAGTGATATTATAATTAATGTTTACAAGAAATAAACGTTTTAGATACCTTTTTTTGCTTGTTTCTCATTTTAAAATTTGCGTGTTATTATGAATTCATAATAGCACTAGTGCTATTATGAAAGCCATAATGACATCCAAATGACAATGTTAAATGTGTCATAATGACATTGTCGTAGATACATTTTTTTAAAGGTTGTTTATTGGGTCAATGCAAATTAATAAAATTGCGTTTGTGTATCTCATCAAGGAGGCCAAAATCGTTAAAATATCAATAGACAACTTTTAATCGGCATTAAACTGCTTACACTATTTCGCTAGTAAAAGAAAAAAAGTCAGTGGCGTACATGCTTTTTTTTAGAAAAATATTCTAGTAATAACCCCCATGCACGTCACTGGTGAATATGTCGACCCTTTTTTAGCTTTAAAATATGTCGCATTTATAGTAACTCATACCCTAAAAATTTTACTCCGACTGTGATTTTGTAAACTAGGACCGTGATAACCTTATATCTGCGAATTTGAATTTTTAGGCGTTGCGATTAGCGATATTGTTGCGAATGTAATTTTGTGGTCTATTGAAGCATTTTAGAGTAAACTGCGATTAAATTTTCTCTCTCATATTATTTATTTATAGAGAAGGTATTATTTTTCTAGAGCCACGATTATAATATACCGGGTATTTCTCATGGGTTAACTTTTTAGAACTGCCTTTTCACCGCAAATTTTCCCATATTTTTTTTCTCATAAAAAAAAACGAGATTTGGAATGTTATTATATGACATCAATTAGGATTGATTGACGTATTCAATTGTTTTTGGCCACTTTCTGTTTTACTGGAAATTACTACAACTTTGATTTTTAAATGGCACCTTCGGTATTTTTTACTTTATTCGATAGAAAATGACACTCTGAAGAATGGCATATCATATGGAAACTTTTGACATTTTCGCTTAAAAAATTGTATTTTAAATTTAGAATGTCATGGCTGTGTTAAAAACACTTTTTCGTGTCTTCTCCTGGTCAGTCAAGAGATCCCCAAATCGTATTGACGTGAAACTTCTGTACGCGCGATGGGTGTAAAAATTGAAAATTGAAGTAAGATGTAGCGTCGTAACTCGGACCCTATGTGAACTAGCGGGCTGAAACTCGGAATGTAGATGGGCTCGAAGAGCCCTATCTTTTCATGAAATTTTGACGGCGTTCATGCACTGTGAATCTCCATCATTAATGGCGAAAAATCGTCCGATTTAATGGGTCTTTCTTCTTCTTATCACGCTCTCTCGTGCCGAAGGTTGGCGATCCAAATTGTAATTATCTCTGGAAACTGCAGCCCGGAAGATTTCCGCAGACGAGCGTGCAAACCATCTCCTTAAATCTTTTAGCTATGAGTTCTGGCGTCTTTCTACCTGGTCTTTTCCCTTGCACTTTGCCCTCTATTATGAGGCGCAGTATTTCGTATCTATCACCTCTCATCAAATGACCCAAGTATTGCATTTTTTTTTCCTTGATGGTATTTAGTATCTCTTTTTGTTTCTGCATGCGCTGGAGTACTTCATCGTTGTTGGTGATCCTTTGTACCCATAAGATTCGCAACATCCATCTGTACATATACATTTTACATTTCGAAGGCTTCTAGTCTCTGTGAATCCAGTGTCCAGCTCTAGTAACTGTAAGCTGTAAGTATCCATAGAGTAACACAGAGAAGACGTAACATCTGGCCATTCGAGTTCTTGGAGTGATGGGTCTTGGAGCGTCGTAACCAATGTTAAAGAAACTAAAAACTAAATCTACTGATTATGATTAACTCTTTTGAACTTTTATGTCAGTTTTTTGGGAAAACATATTAGACCAATTCTATAAAACCAACAAAGTTCTACAAAGCGTCGATATTGATACTGGTAACGTAATTGAACTCTTCTTGGCTCTGATAAATTTTGTAAAATCTTTGAGAAATTCAGTCATGTTTGAAACATAAGCAGACAAGGCAAAAAAAATTATGGAGAAAAAATACGATGATGACCCTCAAAAAATCGAAAAAGAACACACTTCTCCCAGGCGAAACAAGAGATGGAGATACAATTTTAACAGGGAGGGAGCAGCTAAAAATTGAAACGTATTTTGTTATACTGGATAGGATTACAATGGAACTGCAGAAACGTCAAGAGGCGTACAACAGCGTGTTTAAAACGTTTATATTCTTTTTTGATTTCAAAGAAATTTCCCAGGAACAATTAATACAAAGCACCAAAAACTTACAAACATTCTATAAGGATGACTTGGAAGATGCTTTTACAACAGAAAACTTACATTTTTTAGAAATAGTAAAAGAGACCGATATTCAACGCACACTGTCAAATATGCTTTCATATATTCGAACTCATAATTTGGAAGCAGTTTTTCCAAATCTGGAAATTGCTTTACGGATATTTGTATCCATGGCGGTTACAGTGTGCTCAGCGGAACTGTCATTTTCCACACTTAAACGATTAAAATCCTATTTAAGGGCCACTATGGAACAAGATCGTTTAAATGCCGTAACAATATTAACAATAGAATCAGATTTAACTACAAGTATAAATTTTGACAACATTATTGATTCGTTTGCTGCCATTAAATCCCGGCGTAAATTATTTATTTTTTTTTTATCTCTACGAATTCATTTGTTGTTTACTTATAAAAATAAATTTTCAATATTTGCTGTTATAGCGAAATAAGGGCGGCATTTTTTAAGTGACGTAAGGCGGAAATTTGGTAAATCCGGCACTGCAAGTAAACGAAAATAGCCCTGATTTCAGCTATTTTAAACGTGAAAAACTCGAAAGGAATGCATTTCCGCAGAAATTTTTTTAAATAAACAAATATTTCTTACAAAACTAATTTCAAATTTTAAGTAAACGAAACTTGAGTCCTTGTAAACGAAACTTGACTAAAAGTTTATTTGGTATGAACTGTACCTAAAATCTTTTATTGCCAAGTATTTTGAATCATTTTTTATCGCTCCGTATATCTACGTTAAGCAGTACTTTTCCTTTTTTACTTTTCCTTTGTATAAATCGAAATCCATGTTAGTCGATGTGGTCCCTAAAGTGTAGGTTTATCAAGTAATCAATCGATTAACAACGTATCTCAGAATGTTTATCTTTTTTTATGTCCTTATTGGTGCGGCACTGAGCAGGACGCAACAGGAAGAGCGCTAAAACTTTCGCATCGCTTCAGCTTCAGTTTCAGTTTCGCACCGTTCGGGTTATCGTCGCAGATCGGCGCGGAAAATTTATCAAAATCTCGATCGGCGTTTTCCTCGAGTTGAAAGTTTTCCAGAGAGTTTTAAGGTAAGTTTTTCTTTTCGTATTTATATGCAGATATAATATTTTACATTTACAATATTTTAGGAATCTGAAAAAAGTGTATCTATACAATAATTTAACTCGAAATATCATATCGATGCGTGTTTTTAACAATAATAGCAATAAAGAAATGAGTTCTTATTTCTGCGCTGTGACAGATGTGTGCAATGTATTGTGTACTTTTTTAAAGTAGACGATGACAATGATTATACAGTTTTACTTATTTTTCAGTGATTATGATAAGTCATTATCTATGACTATGATTAACTGTTTCAACTCACAGTTAGTCCAGGAGGCAGTGAAGATGTTCGTTACTTATTTTCCCAGTCAGTAAAACACCCATATAATTATTTAGAATCTTATTTTAAGCAAATTTCATATACAGGGTGTTCCAAAAAACATGTGCCGTCTCTCGTGGGGAGATTCCTCACGTAAAAATATGATTTACTTTTCATATCAACATAGGTCCAATTCTGCTTTGTTTCGTAGCTACAGGGTGTTAAAGTTTTAATAATCATTCGATTTATTATAATTTTTTTCGAAGTACTTTTAGTGATTCGAATGAAACTTTGAGGGAAAAAGTTGCTATAAGTGCTATGTATTTTAATGCTAGAAAAGTGTCGATCAATTCATCAGGAACGTGCATATGGGTTATCACTAGAATATTTAAAAAAAAGACATGTGCACCCCTGACTTTTCTCTTTTGATATGAAAATTGAGTAGGGCGTTTAATGCCAATTAAAAGTTATCTCTAAATATTTTGTCGAATTTGGCCTCCTTGATGAGATAAACGCAATTCTATTAATCACAATTAATAAAATTCATAAATTACATATTTTACCTCATTTATTATTAAATATTATTACTATTAGTTATTATTACTATTAGTTCAACCTACAGCAATTTTTAATAAAAAAATAATGGTAAAAATAATTTTAAACAGTTATAACATGCTGTAAGACTAAAACTATGCATTTTCATACCCATGTTTATAGGAACTTTTTTTCATATTTTTTTTGAAAGGAATCAATGAGTACTTATTTAAAATTATCGCAAGTAAAATGATATTATAGTTATTAATGATACAAGTTCGATACGAACATCATAATGAAACGCGTGTAACGTTAACGTGTTAACTCGGCTAACGCCTCGTGGCTTAGTTACACAAGTTTCATTAAAAAGTTCGTATCGAACGTGTATCATTCAAAATTTAATCTACGACGCGACAGGAGGGACGATCCAAAGAGATTTGATTTAATTTAAAAGATCAGAGATATCCTCATAAAAATTAAAATTCAAAATTTTCAGGTGCCCATATTAGTCGACGCCGTGGTAACCGTGCTTGTTGATTGTTTCCATTTTGATTTTGACAACTCAATTATTGATGTTCAATTTTGTGTTAAACGTTCAGTTTTAGCAAAAAGCAAAAAATAATATTAATATGGGTGATTCTGATTCTGAAAGTGTCCCTTCGGATATTGAAGGCATTGCGCGAAACGTTGTCGATTCCCTACTTCCGGAAAAATCAAGAAAAATGTACGAGCAAGCCTATGTAAAACTGGAAGATTGGTGTAAAGGGAAAGGAATCCAGAATAGTAGTAACGAAAAGGTTCTGCTGGCATATTTTGAACATCTTTCAAACATAGGAAGGCTTCATCACTTTGGGTATATTATTCCATGCTACGTTCAGTTATATCAGTGAAGAAAAATACAGATATTAGTAAGTACGTCCATTTAATTGCATTTCTAAAAAGAAAATCGGAAGGGTTTCGTCTTTTCATGAAATTTTGACGGCGTTCATGCACTGTGAATCTCCATCATCAATGGCGAAAAATCGTCCGATTTAATGGGTCTTTCTTCTTCTTATTACGCCCTCTCCTGCCGAAGGTTGGCGATCCAAATGGTAATTGTGGCTCTGGAAACTGCAGCCCGGAAGATTTCCGCAGACGAGCGTTCAAACCATCTCCTTAAATCTTTTAGCTATGAGTTCTGGCGTCTTCCTACCTGGTCTTTTCCCTTGCACTTTGCCTTCTATTATGAGGCGCACTCTCATCACATGACCCAAGTATTGCATTTTTCTTTCCTTGATGGTATTTAGTATCTCTTTTTATTTCTGCATGCGCTGAAGTACTTCTCGTTGTTCGTGATCCTTTGTACCCATGAGATTCGCAACATCCATCTGTACATATACATTTTACATTTCGAAGGCTTCTATTCTTTTTTCGGCCTCTGAATCCAATGTCCAGCTCTCACATCCATAGAGTAACACAGAGAAGACGTAACATCTGGCCATTCGAGTTCTGAGTGATGGGTCTTTGGAGCGTCGTAACTCAATGTTAAAGAAACTTAAAAACTAAACTACTGATTATGATTAACTCTTTTGAACTGTTAAGCTATAGATGCATACACAGAAAATCATATACCTAGTACAATATTTAAATATTAATATCGCAATCGCAGTTTCATTTGCGATTCGAGAATCACAGTTTTGCTCATCTCTAGTTTTTAATACGGTATTAATTTTAAATTTAACTAGGTCTATCGCTGAAATTTTTCTTAGTTAAACTCGAATTGAAAAGCTATCTATGTAATCACGCCGTGGTACTGTTTATTCAATAATAGTTAAAACGGAACAGATTAAGATTGAACCTGTTCTTCCGGAGCAATATAGACATGGAATACACGTGTATTATAGAACGTTTACCGGCTTAAAACGGAACAAGTCGCATCGGAGCATTAGTAAATCGAACGGATAGGTTTATTATTAGATATATTGACGAGGGCGAGAGTCCAGACATGATAATAGGCTGGCCCTTACTCAATTTACAGATGAAAAAATATATTTCTTTGATCCCTTGTAAAAAAGTTAACGAGAACAAAAATATTAAAAGTTTAAAACAAATACTTAAAAATGGGTAAATTTGGCTAGGATAAACGATATTGATTCTTAAACTGTTTTAATTTTTTTCACTTACATTTGTATTTTGACCTTATTTGTATTTTTATTAAAAAAATTCTGTATCTTAATGTTGTATTAATTGAAGCATTGAGACTTTATCTAACCCGACCGAATATGCAGTATCTGGTCTATAGATCTTACAATCTGCGACACAACATGTGTTTCAATAGAGTTTTGAAACTGCAAATACTCATTTATTACTCTGTACAGGGTGGTCGAAGTTGGTCTGTTTTAATAGAGAAAACCTATTTCCTGACTAGATAGAGCAAAACGGACATAGATGTCATGGGCTCGATTCCTAAGAAACGTTTAATGGCGTAAACCGTCTGTTGATATTTTCACTGCTAACTGAGATACGGGGTCTTTTTGAATTTTTTACCATTTGGAAAATTGCCCATAACTTTTTTATTTCGCGGAATAATAAAATTCTGTAAAAACGTTCTTAAGGCACTTTTTTAACTACAATCCAGTGGCGTAGTCAGTTTTTTTCTATGCTTGGTCTTTTTATCAGAAGTAATGAAAAATATAATTTTTTAAATGGAAATCATAGTTGGTTATGAACTTAAAAAAATGCTGGCGTTTAACCCTTTCCAACGATATAAAGTTTTGGGTATCTATGTATTTCTAAGAATGAGAGAAATGTTAGTTTTTGGTTTGGTTTGGTTTGGTTTAATAGAGATCCACATAGACGATTGATTTTTAATATCATTAACTTGCGAAAGTTTAAGTATTCATTGATTCTTCATCAAAAAATATGAAAACGTTCCTATAAACATGGGTATGGAAGTTAGAAGGATGTTAAAACTTTTTTAAATGAGGTTTTTTGTAATTATTTAAATACCATTATTTTTTTATTTCACATTGCTGTAGGTTGCACTAATTGTAATAATAACTAATAGTAATAATATTTAATATTAAATTAATTTAATAAAATATCAAGAGAGAACTTTTAATTGGCATTAAAGGGCCTACACAATTTTAATATCAAAAGAAAAAAATCAGTGGCACGTTTTTTTAAATATTCCAGTGATAACCCATATGCACGTCCCTGATGAATTTATGGACACTTTTTTAATATTAAAATATGTAGCACTTATAGTAATTTTTACCCTCAAAATTTCATTCGAATCACTAAAAGTAGTTGGAAGAAAATTATAATAAATCGAAAGATTATTAAGACTTTAACACATTGTAACTATGAAACAAAGCAGAATCGGGCCTGTGTTGATATGAAAAATAAATCTTATTTTTACGTGAATCTCCCCACGAGAGATGACACCTGTTTTTTGCAACACCCTGTATAATTTGATTATATAAACAATTTTCGTTTGACAACATTTATACCAATTTTTTTTAAATTGGAGTTCTAAGTACAGGTTTTTCATCCGTAAAAAATCAATTAAATTTTAATTATATATCGTGTTGGTTCGTTATTTTCCCAACGAAACTCATTCAGAACCTACATGGTTTGCTCTCTACGAATTTCTAGCTGACGTAAACAAAAAGAAATTAATTACGTGGCGACGGACGGAGAACAACTTCCTATAAAGTTTTCTCTTAGCACGCTTTGCTTTTTATCTTTTTTACCCTTTTTAATTAGTAGCTTAATCAAAATTAGAGTTGTAAAGTTTACAGTGAAATAGGCCACAACATACACTTTATTAGGGTAGGTAGTGTAAGATATGAATTGGCTATATAACAATCAAAATTAGAGTTGTAAAGTTTACAGTGAAATAGGCCACAACATACACTTTATTAGGGTAGGTAGTGTAAGACATGAATTGGCTATATAACTGAATAATTTTTGAAAAAAAAACATATTATAGCATATCTTATATCACTGGAAGGCTTTAAAGATGGAGCTTTTTATGGAGTCATGGCTAACCAATGGTTTCCATAAAAAAACATATGTTTGTGTCATATGTCAAAAATAAAAAACAAGCTTTAGAAACAAATGGAGAACACAATCTCATATCTCATTAAAGATGATCCACAATATACCGGGTGCGTCTCAAAAGTGGCTCAC